TCCCTCCCTCCCTCCCTCCCTCCCTCCCTCTCTCTCTCTCTCTCCATATCTATATCTTTTATTACTATCCCTGACTGTCTGTCTCTCTATCTATTGTCTGTCTATCTATTATCTAGTTAGCTATCTATCTATCTCTATTGTCTATTCATTCACCCATTTGCCTATCCGTATCTGTCTATTATCTCTATCACATATATTATCTCTGTGTCTGTTTATCTGGCTGTCTATCTGGCTGGCTGTCTAGCTATCTCTTCTATATCTAGCTATCTATTTCTAGCTAGCTAGCTACCTACCTACCTACCTACCTACCTACCTATCTATCAACTATCTATCTCTTTTCCAAGGACTGCATCCTTGAGTAGCATCTGGTATTGCTGGAATGAACAATGTCCACAAAAATAGACAAATAATCTCTGCCCACCACAATCAACTCCGGTCCAGGGTGAAGAGAAAGAATTGAGGTTTAGTCAAAAAATTACACACACAAACACAAAACAGGCTCCGCTTTCAATGCCCCTTCATTGTGTCTGCCACCCTAAAGTTTTGACCCCACCCTGAGGGCCCCCTTTGAAAAAAGAGGCCCATCCAGGGGTGGGTTTCTACCAGTTTTGTCCACCTCTGTAGAACTGGTAGCTTTGAAGAGCAGCAGACATAGAACCGGTTCTATGTCTGCTGATGTTTTTGCCCACCCGCCCACCCGGGCTCTTACCTGACCTTTATTTCCTGATTTTTCAACTTCAGCTGCCGTACGAGGCACAGCTTTAGTTAAAAAAGCAGGAAAAGAGGGCTGTTTCAAAGGCTGCTTCTCTGCACGCAGCAGCGCTACTCAGCTGTCCAGGCACCAAGCTGATGATGATTTACAGGTGCGCGACACAGCCATCGTAAATCACCAAACCGATAATTAACCCTGTCGTATCCCACCCCTGGGCCCATCCAAAGGCCGATTCTTCCATTCCAGACCACCTCCAGGATCCACCCCAGGGAAAAGGGGACCCTTCAGCTCTCAGGGAATGTGGGGGCCCGGGAACCCCTACAAGGGGCTCAGTCACCATGTAGCCAGCTCTGGGCACAGCGGGTAAGATCAGGGCTGGGCTGCTGGAGGTTCGCTGGGGTTCAGGAGAGTCCTGAGCTAAGATTCTGTGCAGTTCGGAGAACCCCCTAAATCCCACTCCTGGTTGGCCCAGCCCACCCGGCCCCTCCCTTCCCAGGAGTCCCCATGAGGCCTGTTTTGGAGGCAGGGAAGTGCAGGGCGTGCACGGAGGCTCAGGGAGGGTGAAAAATGGGCCGTTTCCAGCTTCCAGAGAGCCTCCGGAGCCTGGGGAGGCCGTTTTTGCCCTCCCAGGGGCTCGAGGAAAGCCTCCGGAGCCTGGGGAGGGCAAAAACGCACCCCACCACCGTGGTGCAAGAGGCCAACTAGGCCACACCCACCCTGGCCACACCTTCCCAGCAACCAGGCAGAAAACCCGTTGCTAAAATTTTTGAAACCCACCTCCGGATAAGAACCAGGGGAGGTTCTAAGGCTGCACCCGCTGTTCTACAGGTGTCCTGAGCCCCTGGGGGCATGGAAACCCACCTCCAAAGCTGTTTTGGCCTGCTGAAAGAGAGGCAGCCAGAATCAGTGCACTGAGGTGTGGGTGTGTACACCCAGGTTTGGAGACAAGGCCCTCCCGTTGGCTGCCTGCACTCACCTTGGTCCTCTTTGCTGGTCAAGGAGGCCCCCTGGGCACCCAGGGCAAGCAGAGCCAGAGCAAGGAGGAGCCCCTGGGTCTTCATGGTGCGGCTGCTCCTGCGTCTGAGCCGCAGATCCCAGCCGGGCTGGATTTAAAGAGCCTGACAGGTGGGGCTACCTGGATGCCGATGGCTCTGACGGGAGCCTCTCCCAGCAGCTGTGTGGATTCCCCACTAAGCCCTGCCCAGACAGGTTCCCTGAATGTGGAGGAGGAGGAGTTGTCTCTGGGAGGATCCCACATGTGGACAGCCATCTGGGCTGGAGGTGAGGTGCAGGCAAAGCACGGGGGTCCAAGCCAGGTGGACCCGTACCTCAACTCTGCCATTGCACCATGCATAGTGTTGGGTTGGAGGTCAGAAAAGGCAGCCAGATAACCCCTTGACTGCCAGGAGAAACCCAACTGGTGCAGGGCAGATAAAGAAAGCCAGGCAGCCCATCAGAGTCCTTCTTCTAGAGGGACAACTTCCATGAGCACCTTCGGCCCTCCTTCTCTGGGAAACCACCCCATCCTCAAGGATCCAGGGCTTTGCCAGAGCCGATGGCTGCATCCGGCATGGAAGATTGACCACTTCCTCCTTGAATCAAGCTGGGAGTCAACAGGAAGGGATTACACCTTGTCCAGAAGCCAATTCTTGATGACTTCCAAGAGCTTCTCCAACTGGTTGGTCTACACAAAGGCAACCATGAAGGAGACCAAATTACCTTTGTGCTTCCTGGTCCCGTCACCGCTTCCATCTCTTTCTGTCAGCAAAATTCATGAGTTGCAACCTCCAACCCGCTCACCTGCAATCCAATGTGCTCATCCCACCCGCTGCCACTCTTGCCTGGCCTCGGCCCTCAGGGGGGCACCGCCCCCCTTGGGAGCATCTCCATGAGCAACCCAAGGGACAGGATCAGAAGACCACGGCCCTCCCTCTTCCAAGCCATCAATCTACTGTGTTTCTCCAACAAGACGGCCTCCCCCAATAGGAAGTCCCAGCATGTTTTATAGGCATAAAATCAAATTAAGCCCCTCCCCCCAAATTAAGGCCTATATTAAACATGCAAAATGGGGGGGAATGGCAGGGGGGCTTGCCATTAGGAAGTACTTTTGTTGCATACCCGGATATGGTGCTGCCTGCGTTGACTTCGGCGTTGGTGGGGCACTTCGTATCAGGAGACCTTCCGCCACTGTTGCTTTCCCTTCTCCCCGTGCCGCCGCGGTGTTTAGAGCAATGCCGTGGCATTTGACACAGCCACGCGCAGCCAGTCAGGGCTCCTCCTTGCAACCGGAGCCCGGCGGAGACACTTGGCTTCAGGCGCTCCTGTCACCGCCTTCCCTTCGCCTTCGAAGGCAAAGCCAATTCTTTTAAAAATGACACCCTACTACCGGTACGACAAAGCCTCCCCTGCCCGAGAGGGCAGCCCAGCCCCATGTGGGGAGGTGAATCTCCCAGGGCCACAGCGCAGGATCGGCCCACCCAGGGAGAAGCACCCAGTCACCATCCCTGGCACCGGGCAGGGAGGCAAGGTGACGGCAACGCTGCTTCCCTGGCCGGCGGATCCGGTGGAGAAACCCCGAAGCCATCCATCCTTTCCACCCCTCGCCCAGCCCGTCCCCATCCCCATGCATCTCCAAATGCGCCAGCAGCTCCAAACGCTGCAGCGGCACAGGCATCGGGCAGAGGCGCTCAATCGGCAGGGCTCAGCTCAGAGGAGGATGCATCGCAGGCCATTGCCTTGCCTCCGTGTCCACGGATGGGTGGGTGCTTTCACTGCCTCGGGTGGCCTCTCCCGGTAGCCCCTTTGGGTTCAGGCTGGAGGGACTTGGGAAGTAAGCCAAGCTTGGGTTGGCCCGGCTCTTTTGCTTGGCAGATGGGCGCGCACCCGCGGCTCGCTTTTCTGGCTCTGCCCAGCCCGCATGGCTCTAGCACAGCCCTGGCGGGATGAGTGGAGGGTCCGGCGGGGAGGCGCTCGCTGCCTTGGCGAGAACTCCGCTGCTGGGCAGGAGGGCCTGCCTGTCAGCTGCGCTGGGCGCCCCAGGCGAAGCTCTTCGCGCTCTGCCCGGCGCCAGGCAGGGATGGCGGCTGGGTGCTTCTCCCGGGGTGGGCCGAACCTGTACTGCAGCCCCGGGAGATTCGCCTCCAGACGTGGGGCTGGGCTGCCCTCTCGAGCAGGGGAGGCTTTGTCATACCGGTAGTAGGGTGTCGTTTTTAAAAGAATTGGCTTTGCCTTAAGGAGCACCTGAAGCCGAGTGTCTCCGCCAGGCTCCGGTTGCAGGGAGGAGCCCTGGCTGGCCGCGCGTGGCTGCGCCAAACGCCACAGCGTTTCCTCCTGCTCTTCTCTGCACTCTTTCTAGAGTCTCAACACCTTTTTTCTATCTGTGCTTCTGTTTGTTTGTTTAAGGTCTTCCCTAAGCTTGTTGTGTAGCCATACAGGTACTCCTCGCCTTACAAGCGTTCGTTTAGTGACCATTCAAAGTTACAATGACACTGAAAAAAAAGTGACTTATGATCATTTTTCCCATTAGGGACCATTGCAGGATCAGGTGATCAAAATTTAGACAATTGGCAACTGACATGTACTTATGACGGTTGCAGGGTCACGAGTCAATGGGGACGCCAGATTCACTTAACAACTGGGTGACTAAGTTAACCACTGCAGTGATTCACCTAACATATGTGACAAGAAAGGTCGTAAAATGGGACAAAGGTCACTTCACCCCTGTCTCGCTTAGCAGCAGAGATTCTGGGCTCCATTGTGGTTGTAAGTCGAGGCCTGCCTATATTGGTTTCTGATCTCCACACTTTTGTTCTTCTCAATTGACCGTTTGGAATTATTCAGCATACCGAAGAACAGAGCTGAAAAGGGATCTCGGAAGTCTTCTAGTCCAACCCCCTGTTGAAGCAGGAAACCCTGTTTCTTGGGGTCTCCTTCTTTAGGAATTCCTTTTCCCCTGATTTTCTCTTGCCATGGAATCCTACTTATCAGTTACTCGGACTTTATTAAAATCCAAGAGGCATGTTTGATGACTAAAATATAGTTTTCTTCTCTTTAAGACAATTCCTCCAGCATTGCACCATTCCACAATCTTCCTGAAACTTCATTTCTCCATTAGACCAACGTATTGATTAGTATCAGATCAAGGAGAGCCGATCTTTCTGTGCTTCCATCAAATCAAATTTTATTTCTATGTTTTATTTGCTGCCCAACTCGTGGCAGGGCAACTGTGATCCACCAGACAAGTTGGGAATTTCCTGGAAGGACCACGCAAAGGATAAGGGGATTAAACTCTCCCATGGCTACAATTTATGGCAGCTGAGTCTGTAACAAATTACAAGGATGACAAAATGGGGACGGCTGTCATCACAAATGTCACAATTATGCACTTCCATCACAACTGATGTAAATATGACGCTCGTGGCAGTTGCCCGGCTGCATCATCAACCATCTTAGCATTTGAGGACGTAAATAAATGTTAACATCATTTAACAAAGACCCACAAAGGAGATTCCCGAAACAGAAACACAGATTTCTGTCACATTGCATAGATGTTTCTGCCCTAAGAATGCAAAGACTGTAATCTTTATTTTCTAAATTCTGAGCACTAACGAAAGCCATAAATTTTATGAGGCAATGTCCTTTTGTACTTTCAACAAGTGGCTTAAGCAACTCTAGTAACGCAACACTGCTCTCTCTCTCTCTCTCTCTCTTTCTCTCTCTTACCTAGTTCTGTAACCACCACCACCACCCCCGCTCCCTTCTAGCATTGATGACATTACCTGGTTTGGTAATGAAATACCTGCAAGAAAACAACCAAGCTCAGAATACACCAAGGACTCCACAGCTTTCCTCATCTTCCTCTTCTCTTCCTCTTCCTCCTCTCCACAAGCCCCCCTCTCTTCTAGCACTGATGATGTTCCAGGGTTGGGTCATAAAATGTCTACAAGAAAGCAACCAAGATCAGAGAGCCCCAAGGACCCCATAGTTCTCCTCCTACTTCCCCCTCCTTCCTCCTCCTTCCTCCTCCTCCCCCTCCTCCTCTCCACAAACCTCAGTCCCTTCTAGCACTGATGATGTTGCCTGGTTGGTAACATCTACAGTAAGTCCAGCCTTGAATTCTGTTGACTCATAACTGCCACCTTTGGCTGTTAGTAGCTGAGATTCTTGTAGAGACTGTTAGCTTGCAATAAACCCGTATTCCTTTGAATTGCCTTGGCTCCTGATTCCTTGGGCTCAGGTTTCCCTCTGCAAAGCCTCCTCTCCTCCTTGTCCCAACCTCAGCTGCTGTGAGGACCAGTCTACGTCTTCTTCCTGGGGTAGGAAAGCTCTGTTGGCTGACTTCAGGGAATGCTCAGGACCACAGAACCCCTACATAATGTGGGGTTCCAACTCGAGCTGGGGATTGATTGATTGATTTTGTCAAGCGATTATTAGATAACAGGTATAAGTATAAACGTAGTTATGAATACATGGATACATATAAGAAAAATAAAAAGAAACAATGGGACAGGGACGGTAGGCACATTGGTGCGCTTATGCACGCCCCCTACAGACCTCTTAGGAAAGGGGTGAGCTCAATAGTAGACCGTCTAAGGTTAAAGTTTTGGGGTTTGGGGAAGAAACCACAGAGCCAGGTAGAGGATTCCAGACATTGACCCCTCTGTTATTGCTGAAGTCGTATTTCCTGCAGTCAAGTTTGGTGCGGTTGAGTTTGTATCTATTGTTTGCTCTTGTGTTGTTATGGTTGTAGCTGAAGTATTCATTGACAGGTAGGACATTGCAATGTATGATTTTATATACTATATTTAGATCGGACCAAAGGCGGTGTAGTTCTAGGTTTTCTAGGTCTGGAATTTCAAGTCTGGTGGCATAAGGTATTCTGCAATGAGTAGAGGAGCGGAGAACTCTTCTTGTGAAATGTTTTGTATGCTCTAGTTAGCAATACAATATTACCAGAGAAGAAGCTATGTAGGATTAGGTTAACAACTCTTAATGCCTTTTTGGTATGTAGTTACAGTGGGCTCTAGGACTTAGGTCATTAGAGATGAGTACTCCAAGGTCCTTGACAGAGTTTGGATCATCAACAAGGTCGTGACTATTCAGCCTGTATTTTATTTTCTGATATATATTTTTTGCCAATATGTA